CTATTTGCAAAATGCAGTTCTAAAATGCTTCCACTTGTGTAAGGCAAGTGGACTTGTTGTAAAATAGCACACAGCAGTATGAATAGTGTTGTCGTGGGCCCCATAGAAAGAAGCCCCATAGAACGTTCTTTCAGCAGCCCCCGGGTTCCAAAAAAAAATCTGAAAAGGCAAATTAAATCACTCTTGCTGGTTTGTGATCAGCAGATTCTCGTATATACTCCAGTTACAGAGGCCGCTGTCCGAGCAAGAGCAGGATTTGTGTCACCGGCAGTTAAAACATCTAGATGCGGTCACGGTGCGTGCTCGTAAATGCCTGCCCTGTGTCACTTCGCAGAATGGAAGCTTCTTGCCTGGAACTGGCCTTGGAAGGCGAGCGGCTGTGCAAGTCGGGAGACTGCCGGGCGGGCGTGTCATTCTTTGAAGCTGCTGTGCAAGTTGGAACGGAAGACCTAAAAACGCTCAGTGCGATTTACAGCCAGCTGGGCAACGCGTATTTCTACTTGCATGATTATGCCAAAGCATTGGAATACCATCATCACGATTTGACTCTTGCAAGGTAATTAAATTAAGCTTGTTAACATTCTTCCTCCCCAAAGTAATCGCTGTAAGATGCCTTCATTCAATTAAGAAAATGAAATGCACTTAATGAGTTCTAATTTAGGAGCGTCTTAAATTTAGTGATTTTTAAAAACTCATCTTTAGGCTGAACACAGTTTAATTAAATGAGCGAAGAGTGAGAAAATGACCCTAGAGTGTAACTAGAGAACTAAAAATTAATTAGATTTTAAAAAAGAGGGTAAGTTTTAATATTTTATTTAAGGTAGGTTTCAAGGCGAATGGCTCTTACTTACCATAGAAGCGTATCACTGACCCTCTGTCGGGGAAACCGAGTGCCCTCTGACTGCTCTGTATGAGAATGCCATCTTCTTTTCTTCTTCCTAGGACCATCGGAGACCAGTTGGGGGAAGCTAAAGCTAGTGGTAATTTGGGAAACACCTTAAAAGTCCTTGGGAATTTTGAGGAAGCTATTGTTTGTTGTCAACGACACCTAGATATTTCCAGAGAGCTCAATGACAAGGTAGGCCAAGTGTGTTTTCGTGGAAATGGTTTTGTGTTTTAATGCTATTCAATTATTCTGTAGTTTATCTAAAAGTCCATGACCAAGAGTAAACTATTTGTAGATCAACAGAAGAAAAAGAAAACGTAGTGACATTGTTTTTAACTAGAGAAGAAAAGGAATGAAGGCCAAGTCCGTCTTACACTCCTGGTCATTTATTTCATTCTGTGTCAATGGTCAGGGGAAGGGTTTCCTGGGTTTCCTCCCCTGGATCAGTAGCCAGGAGATTGCAAATGCACGTGGCCTCCGATTTCTAAGTATACCCCTGCCGATGTCCATCTAGGTGGGAGAAGCAAGAGCACTGTACAATCTTGGAAATGTGTACCACGCCAAAGGGAAGAGTTTTGGCTACCCTGGTCCTCAGGACACAGGCGAGTTTCCAGAAGAAGTGCGGGAGGCGCTGCAGGCCGCCGTGGATTATTACGAGTGAGTAGCCCTGGTGCAGCCACGCCGGCCCTACAGAGCAGTGTACCTCCTGCCTCTGCGGTACCCACTAGCAACTTTACATCTGATGGGTTTTGAAATATGACCTAGCCCATAAAAGTACCGTATATACTCGAGGATAAGCCGAGTTTTTCAGCACTTTTGTAATGCAGTTTTGTGGTAAAATTAGGTGCATCGGCTGATATTCGGGTCGGTTTATACTCCAGTATATATGGTAAGCCTGAATGGACTCAGTTGCTAAAATGTTACAATGCTTGTGAATCATTCCCCCTCCAGAGGAAAGTGTCCTCTCAGCTGCAAACCAGTGCCACTTAGTGGTGAAAACCAGAATTAGCCCTGCTTAGTCTCAGTTATGTGCAGTCATTTTAGAATTTTGTAGAATTTCTGAGCTATAGGGGTTCTGGGATCAAATCCACCCTTGAGGACTCTGGGCTTTAGGCTTCCTGAGTAGTTTCATAGAGTGCCCTACTCTGTACCCTAGAAACACCCTCCAGCATATGTGTCCTCTATAAAAAGGGGTTCATTAGGGCTGTAAAACAACACATTTTTTTTCTGATGAAAATAATTAATTTTGTAAATCAAATAACATTTTTTCCAACCTTCTCCGTCCACAACTCTTTGCCATCACTTAGGGAAAACCTCTCGTTGGTGACTGTTCTGGGTGACCGAGCAGCCCAGGGACGTGCCTTTGGAAATCTTGGAAACACACATTACCTCCTTGGCAACTTCAGGGATGCAGTTATAGCTCACGAGCAGGTATAACGGGCAGCCTTGGAGCCAGCTCATCTTCTCCAACAAAATTCTGAGCAGCCATCAGATTGCTCTTCCATTTGTTTTTATCATGGCGATACCTAACGGGGATTTTCTATTTCAGCGTCTCCTTATTGCAAAGGAGTTTGGAGACAAAGCGGCTGAAAGAAGAGCATATAGCAACCTTGGAAATGCATACATATTTCTTGGTGAATTTGAAACCGCCTCCGAGTACTACAAGTGAGTCCAGCTTGCTGTAGATCAATGAACGAGCAGTCACGCAGTCCTAGTGATTCACCAGCTTTGGGTCTACGACCTGGTTTTGCCGCATGCCTGCAATACCACCCTAGGCTTCTAGACCTCTGTTACCTAACATAAGAGTACCTTGAGTTTGCAGTTATTGTGAGGATTAAATTAAAGAATTTATTAAGCACTCACTTAGCACCCTCAAAGAAAACAAACTCACTGCCATCAAGTCAGTGCCGACTCATCGCGGCCCCTACGGTTTCCTGAGACTGTAACTGTTCATGAGAGTGGGAATCCCAGGCTTTCTCCCACGGAGCTGCGGTGCTTTCAGACTGCTGACTATGGGGATTGCAGCCCGATGCATAACTCTGACACCACCATGGCTCTCTCACTTTTAGCACACAGTGCTCAAGAAATAGTATTGTACCGAAGAAGGAAGAATTAGTAGCAGTATGTAGAAGTCGATCCTGGCTCATAGCAATCCCTCATGTGAGGAAGCAGGATTCCTAGGCTGTGGTTTCTATGGAAGCAGATCACCAGGTCTTTTCTCTCCTGGAGCGGCCTGGTAGGCTTGAACTACAGACCTTTTGGTTAACAGCCATTGTGCCGCCAGGGCACCTAGTTAGTAGTGTACCCAGACCTAAACCCACTGCCGTCAAGTAGATTCTGACTCCTGGAGACTATAAGACAGAGGAGAGCTGCTCTAGGGAGATTCCTAAGACTAAATCTTAACAGGAAGAGACAGCCTCGCTTTTCGCCAACAGAGCAGCTAGTGGGTTTGAACCTCTGGTTTTACGGTTAGCAGCTCAACAAATAACCCATTATGCCACCAGAGCTCCAGCAGCAGTCTAGATTCCTTTACATTTTCACTAGTTTTTAACCTTTAAGACAGAATTCTGAACGTATGCTCTTTTAAAACTGTTTGACCTGTGTGGTCTGTATCTGCACAGGCTTTTTCACTCAATTATGAATATGAAGGGCGACCAGAAGAAAGCCCGCTAGCATAAAACATCCCCTGGTTTCCACCAGTGATCACTGAGTTCTGTCCGCCCACCTGTGCCGCTCACTGGGAGCAGAGGCCCGGCGGGCATTCACTTACCTGAGGACTTGGCACTCCCAGGCTCTTCGGCAGCAGTCTTCCCAGTCTCAGTGGACAGAAACACTGGTCAGCAAAGTCAGGTGACTTCGTATTGCCTGGCCTGTGCTTTCTAAATCCTTTCCCCCTCATTGCCATTCATCCCTCAGACAGAAGCCAGTTTGATTGCACCAAAGACAAAGACCTAAAAAGTATTATTTGTGGCAAGTTCACCGTGAGAGAGTTCTCAATAGTTTGCCACCTTAAAAATAAAAAGTTCATTTGCTGTCAGTCTGTTTCAAAATTAGAATGCCATCTACCTTGCTTTCACCTTCGACTGAAGGCTAGCTAGCATTTGTTGGTTGATTTGTTTCATATGAAATACTCTCCCTAATAAAATACATCACTATAAATTGAGAATTTATATATATATAAATTCTTATAGATATATATATATATATCTTACATTTTAAATTTGAAAGACATAGAGAAGTGGTATGCCTGTGTTAAGTACTGAAAAGTTCTCTTGTGAGTGGTGACCATTTGACTAAAGCATGATTAGAAATTAACATAACTGACTTTTCTCCCCAGTAAACAGACTGGGAGGGATTCTGGGGCCTAGTGGATTAAGCCTTTGCTGCTGACCACAAGTCGGGGATTCAAAACCGCTCGTTGTTCCACAGGAGAAAGATAAGGCTGCCTTGCTCCCAGAGAGTGAGCCCAAGGGATCCAGGGAGCAGTCCTCCTCCACCCTCTCTGGCCTCTGTGAGGTCAAGTTGGCACAACGGTTTATGGGTTCGCAGTTACAAATGTATTGGTTAAACATATGTGTGGCCCTTTCCTTTGGAATTGTTTTCAGATTTCTACAGGAAAACGATCTCCTTTATTACTATAGCTCCACACCCTTCCGGACATTAAACAAATGGTGTGACCCACCAATTTTAGTCATTAAATTTGATTCCAGAAAGGCTTCTGATTATTTACAAGTCAGCTATCATCTGAAGGAATGATGTCATGCCACAGGGTTCGGGAAGCAATTTCAAAAGTCTTCCCCAAATAATTGGAGGTCAGGCAGCATTCAAGTGTGTTTGCTTCCCACGGTGACTGCTTTAAAGATGTCATCATTAAATTTGTCATTTTACATTTTCCTTAAGCATCTTCCACTGCACCATACAGTCATTTCTTATGTAGCTATAAGTGACCGACAGTGTGGATACAACTTGGCAGGAATTATGGAAACAGCCCCATCCATTTAAACACTGGGCTCCAAAGCACCTGTGGATATAAGCCCTGATAACAGCCACAGGTTTTTCCTTACATGAGATCAACTTTGAGCAAGATGCTATTGTAAACATTTGACACATACGGATGAATCCGGTCCTCATAAGAGCGCTGTGAGGCCTGTTCCTGTTTTTACGGATGAAGAAGTCGATGCATCGAGAGTTTGCCTGCCTTGCCCCAGCTGGCACATCTTGGCGAAGTTAGGGTTTCAACCCAGTCTAGCCTCAGGGTACATGCCCATCAGCAGTATGCTAGCTTCTTTGCCAATGCCATGCGTTAGCTGGAATTTAGCTGATGTTGAAATGCCGTTTCCAGTATTGCCCTTGAATAAGTGGCCGGTGGCCTATGCATAAAGAACCCTGACTGTTCCAGCATTGACATTCTGACAAAGTGTCAGAGCTGCAGTGGGACTGAAAAGAGAAGTCACATGGGTAAGCACCGCTCAGTTAAATAATCGCCAATATAACGGAGAATGTTTTACTACTTCACTTTAGAGGCACTTGATCTCAATGTTTGAATATCCCTTTTCTTCAATAAATTGTTAGGGCTCTCACATTTACTGAAAAGTCAGAATTTGTCTTGTATTCCAAAAAACGCCAGGATATTAGGCCCTGCAAACACCTTTCTCTTAAAAGGCAGCAGAAAGAAGCTGGGAGGGAAAAAGGAGTTTTCTGATCATTATAGCTTAAAATAAAAGTGATGGTTATGTAAGAATTAATTTCTTCCTCCAGAAAGACACTACTTTTGGCTCGACAGCTTAAAGACAGAGCTGTAGAAGCACAGTCTTGTTACAGTCTTGGAAACACGTACACCTTACTTCAAGACTATGAAAAGGCCATCGATTATCACCTGAAACACCTAGCAATCGCTCAAGAGCTGGATGATAGGTAAGTTATAAACCTTTTGACTGTAGTTAACGTAAAAGATGCATTATTGAATCTCTACGGTCTTTGCTTCTCATGGCTTCTTTCTCTTTTGTTTTCTGCCTTTTTCCCCCTGCTTTCATTCTTTTAAAGGAATTTCTTCCATTTCAAGAAAATCCTTTATAAATTATTGTTTGTAGGACTATCTTATTGGAGAGTTAGACGGCCTCCATCCCTATGTTGTTGAAGACCAAGACCAAGGTCACAAACTCAGCTCCCTGCAGGGTCTTCCTTTCTGGGTCAGGGTGGGGATTGTGGTGCCCTGAGAGGTAATCAGTGCCAGGCACGAACAAGGCTCCATTTTTCCAAGAAAAGCTGGAATTCCTGAGTTTTGTGTGCAATCTCTGGCTCACTCTTTTTCTAACCATTTGAAAACACAGCATGTGTCTGTAGACCTTTAGTCCCTTGCTGTTTACAAATTCTGTTAGGAAGACAGAATTTTACCTCAGCATAAGAAAAAAAAATTTGATACAATTTTTCAGAATGAAATAAGCTACCTCGAGAGGTAGTGAGTTCTTCTCTCTTTGGTGTCATCCAAATAGATTGAATTGAGTCTGTAGTGGGGGAAATGGGGCAAACCTCTCCCTGAGGTTTTATAATGCTCTGCATCTTTTTGGAAAAGAAGTTTTCTGTATTTTAACACTTGATTCTGTGCTCAGGATTACCTGGATATTCTAGTATCTTGATAGTCTGTGTTTTATGTGAAAGACTAGATACACCCAAAGCATTGTTTGTCTTTAATTAATGCTAAATAGCTTTTATTCAGCACATAGACCTCTTTTGAGATGACTGCATGATAAGAGCCCTGACTTACGTTGCAGAATTGGCGAAGGGAGAGCCTGCTGGAGCTTAGGAAATGCGTACACAGCACTAGGAAATCATGATCAAGCGATGCATTTTGCTGAAAAGCACTTGGAAATTTCAAGAGAGGTATGAAACCAAACTGCCTGTGCTATCCCAGACCAAGCCCAAGCCCACTGTCATTCTGAGCAGATGGCCTGTCTCTCTTTTGCAACTGACCTGGGGCTAAGCAGCAATCAAATGCCCAGTCCCCCAGGGCTCCTTTGACTTAAAAGTCAGTGGGGGGTGGAATGCTATGATTTCTCCAGGTTGCTTCTCCCTGGCTGAATAAATTTGAATACTGTTCCCTTGGCGTAAGAACGGGAGAAAGCATTTTGAGACACAGATCAGGTGTGTTTGCGTTGACCTTGGCAGAAGAAGGCAGGAAGGGAAGGCTGGGTGTGCGGTGACATGGAAGGGTGTTACTGAAGTGGGCTCCTGCCCTCCCCGCAACCTCACAGGGAGACTCGCATGGTCCTGAAGAGAAATGATGGCTTTTAGACTCAAGACCTTCCTATTACAGCTCTGTCATTTGCTGGCTTTGAGACTGGAAACCTTTCCTGAGCCTCATTTTTCTATATGTAAAATTAGAATAATAATTGTTCATTCTTTTCAGGATTAGGCATAATGTATCTTGACAAATATATAAAACATTATTTATAAAAGTACTGAGCATAATAATACCTAGCACTGGCTTAATGAATGCTACCTACTGTTATCATATAAAAATAAAATACTGTAAAGAAGCTTCATCTGTGTGCTATTAAGTAATACATCATGGGATAAACCTAGATTCTCATTTATTGTCATTCTAGCAATCCAGTATTTAAAAAAGGAAATACAATGATAGAATCTAATTAGCTGCTAGACTGGTATAATTTAAAAACATGTCCTTTCCTTTCTGTACTCTTTAAAAACAAACAACTATTAATAAAAACATCATTTCACAGTCCTATAACTTACATACCTATTTTCATTTTACTGTATTTTCTTCCACTCCTAGATTCACAACGTTTTCAACTAATCTCCACTATTCTTTGCCTTTATTTAAAATATACATGCTTGTGGTTGTAGGTTGGGGATAGAAGTGGTGAACTAACAGCACGCCTGAATCTCTCAGATCTCCAAATGGTTCTTGGTCTGAGCTACAGCACAAATAACTCCATAATGTCTGAAAGTATTGAAATTGATAACACTTTGCATGGTAAGTAATAGGTCTTCTAAAACCCAACTTTTTAATCCACAAGATTTTCATTCATTTATCATACCTGCCTACAGCCATATCAGAGAGAATATACGGCATAGGAATTTCCCACTTTTACCCCTCTTTTGCTTTATGCAGAGTCCTATTAATTTATCCATATAAAATATAGTAGTATATTTACTTTTCGCTCAGCTCTCTTTTTCTCTCTCCATCTCTATGTTTCTCTAAAGTAAAATCCCAGGATTGTTTCCTCTCCTTATTCAGACAACCCAGGAGACTCTCTAGATGTTTGGTTTGGCACTGGTACAGGAGAAAACATGCTCAGATGCCTCTGATTCTGAGTGAACAAAGTTTGCTTTTGATTAAAGAGCTTCTCTCACGCACTCTTTACTGTATCAGCCTTGTCGCCCACAGCACTCTACTTTTCAGCTAGGTTCTAGAATTCATTGCAGTGGCCACAGAGAACTCATAAGCGATGCTCACGATGATGGGGTTTTATTATGGAAGCTGACAGGTTACAAGTCAGGTGAGAAATGCTGAGGATACAGTTGTTCAGTCAGGACTTGTCACTAAGTTCTTTCAGGGCGGCTAACAAGTTCCCGAAGGGCCTGCCTTTCCATTCTAAGCTTCAGCTAGAAGGCACTCAGCCTTCCAGCTCTGTGGGTCAGCAAACCCAGCTCCCTGAAATAAGCCCAGAGGCACCCCACTCCACAGCGCCATCTCCTGGCTCCAAACACTCAGCTTTACTTGATCTGTGGACTGTCTCACACTCTAGTCCCTGGTTCTACTGCTGCTGCCCCATTGTCCCTCCTCTGGGGTCAAAGCTGTCCTCCTGGATCAAAGAGGTTCACTGCGCAGGGGCCTCGGGATCCAATGGACACACTCCGCTCCTGGCTCCTGCTTGTCATGAGCTCCCCACTCACTGCTTCTGAGGTGGCTCACTTTATACCAGCAGGGTGGCACTCACTCACGGCTGAATCGTGTGATACAATCTTTACTGCCCTCCCTCTTTCCCTCGTGTACATGTCTAACCCCCAGGGTTCAGTCCTTGGGCCTCTTTTCTTCCCTCTCCATTTTCATCCATCCATTCCTCCTTTCTGGCATGTTCCTTCCTTCCCCTTCTTCTACAGTCGGCATTGGTACTGCCCAATAGAACTTTTTGTGATGCTGGACATAGGTCATGTTTGTGCTATCTGATATAATAGCTCCTAGCCACATATGACTATTGATTGCTTTAAAAACAAATTTAAATTTGATTTTATTATGTAAATAATATGTCTAGTGCAACAAAGGAACTGAATCCCCAGGTGGGGGGGGGGGCGTTGAAATCATTTTATGACTATTGATTGCTTGCAATGTGGTTAATATGAAAGAAGTGGGATGTTTCTTTTATTTAAATTTGTAAATTACATGTAGCTAGTGGCTGCCATATTACACAGCACGGATCTAGATGATAGCTAGATGTTGGCTTTTGTCACTATATATTGATGATCTTCAAAGAGAACCCTTGATTTATCCGCTCCCCAAATGTGATTCTCCATCTTCAAGAGGTGGTACCATCATGCACTCTGGTGTTCAGGCACACTGGCCTCACAGAAACCCTGCCCTCAGATCTGTATCCACAATCTCTCCTACAACCTTGACTGCAACAACTGTAGTATATATACCCACCAGTCTTTCTGTGGAGTCCTAGCCCACCAACTGATGCCCTTTGCTTCCTTTCTGAGCCCTCCCACTGGCTTTTCCGCATAATGCCCACAGAAAACTTGTAAATGTAAATCATATTGTGTCATCCTCGCCTGCTTGAAACCCTCCATTGATTTCCATCACACCGAAACCCCAGTCGTCAGTTCTCACCCTGACAGAAAGACCCTCAGCCACCTGTCCCCAGCCTGAACCTCTGCCTTCAGAACCACCGGTTCGTGCTCAAGCGCAGGTACCATCAGTTCTTGCCGGTGTGTTGGAATGTTGACTAGTTCCTTTGGTGCAGTGACTCGGTCTGTTCTTTCTACATTCTTTTTATGCTTCCTGCATCTAATGTTTTGCCCACAGAATCTCAGTATTGCATCTCGAGGCTTGATTTTCCCCAGGAGTTTGTTCCATGTAGGATCTGCTGAGCGTGTCCTTCCTTTTTGGTTTTCCAACTCTAGGTCTTTGCACACTTCGTTGTACTGTTTTATTTTGTCTTCTCAAGCTGCCCTTTGAGATTTTCTGCTCAGCTCTTTGTCTTCATCATTTCTTCCACGTGCGTTACTGATCCATGAGAGCAGTAATGTTGGGTCTCTTTGTTCAGCGCTGTGCCCCCAGGGCCAGGCATCCCGCTGGCTAAAGGAGCTGCAAGCAAACTTGTCTGTTTCTGTGGTTGACTCCAGAGTAGAGAAAAAAATATCCCTCAGAGTCTAAATTTGTAAACCTGCCCACAGGAAAGGTGGGAGGTTATGAGGACCCTGCACAAGGAGGATCTAGCATGTTGGTAATGTTTCATTGCTTAAACTGGGTGTTATGTAGCCAACATATCTTCTTAAATAGTTTGATTTTTTTAAATTTTATTAAGATTGAATAGATCCTAAAATTCTTTTCATTTAAAATGAAAAATTCTCAGAAAAAAATTTTAAATTAGACGCTTCTTTTTATTTGTTCCCTGACTGGAAGTTAACATGTCATCTTGTAAGATTTTAAAATAGGAAGGAGTAATTTAGAAAGAAGTAACAATATAATCGTAGGGATATTATTGTAATTCTTTTTGCTTTTCTCAAAATTGATGGCCTGAAACCATCTCCTTCTGTTTTCACTTACTTAAAGCACTCTACAATTAAAAAAGAGACCATATGTAGTGTAAAACCAGTTATTGTAAAAGGCCTTTTCTAAATTAAGGAGTAAGGTTAGTAACCAATGTTAGTTTCCAACCAAAATGTAACTTCCTTAAATCAAAGCACTTCACAGGGAGTGGACAGTGTTTTTATGTCCCTGGTATGGTAAATGGTGAGTCTTAGGAGTTCCAGATGGGAAGGGCACGAATTGTGTGATTCCGCTTTGCTCATTCCCACTTCCAGCGGGGTTTCCGTGTCAGCCGTTAGGGCTCACTCACAGGAATGCTGAGTTTATCTATCATTGCTAGCGCTTTATGGGTTATTTGATTTTTTTTTTTTAAACAAAGGTGCACGCCCCAAGTTGGGACGCCGACACAGTATGGAAAATATGGAACTTATGAAGCTAACACCAGAAAAGGTTGGGAAACTTTATGTTTTAAATTGTCTGAGTTTTTATAAAATGCTTTTTTCGCTGTAAAGCTTTGTTCCTCTATGGGTAGCACTTAAAAATCTGCCTTTAAAAAGAATCAAAAGTGATAAAAAGTACATTGCAAAGGAATATGTTCAATATGCTGCCATCTGTTTGAGGAAAAGATCTCTGCAGATGAACCCTCTGCAGAGGCACCCAGCACCCCTGGAGGAAGCGGTTGCAACAGGTGCATGTATTACTTTTTCCCCTTTAATTAAAAAAAAAAAAGAACTAATAATATATTCATTCACTAAGTTAATATTTTAGCCCTCTCCCTGCCCTTATTTACTTTTTTTTCTAAAAAAAAAAGACCAAGAAGATTAGAAAAAGGGTCAAGAAATGTTTTGTTTGTTTTCCTTCTCTCTCTCGTTTTATTTCATTTATTTGTTTGTTTTTTATTTTTGTCTACTTAATTCCAGCAACATTATGGCCAAGACTTTTCAGGAATCAAAGAGTTACTGTCTCACCAAGCTATAAAAAACTAGCTCCTTTGCTGTCGTCTGCGCCTATAGCGCACCCCTAAGGGACCCGGTAGAACTGCGCCCACAGGCAGTGGTAAATCTCTATGGAAGCCGTCTGCCACACCTGTCTCCTGCAGAACTGATGAGGGGGTTTGAACTGCTGACCTTTTGATTGGCAGCATTGCACCACTAGGGTTCCTTTATGTGGCATGTTAATAACTAGTAATGTGATCAAGAGCCCCATTGTTTTAGATATATACTTTTTAGCTATAGTTTTGAAAAGCAGTTCTTGGATGAATTGTGTTCAGGATGCATGTTTTCTGGGCTGATTTATTTGGTAGCAGAAGGGACTTTATGAATGGAAAGAGGATTGACAGACAGTGAACCACATGTACAGCCTATTTCTTTTACCTCCATAACGTTGCTTAATTTCCCACTGTTAAAATAGGCCCTCGTTCCTCTGTGGTATAAGACTTTCTAATGCTTTTTAAATACATATACCATCTTTAAAAAACTCCAACAAATAAATTGAAATAATAAGTAATCCTGCCTCCCTGTGATAACTACAATTAGTATTTTAGTCTCTATTCAGATGCATTTTCATATAAATATTATCATAGTATATTAAGTATTCTTCTGCCCCACCATCACAATGACTCTTAAACACTGATGCTTCTTTGTCTGGGAATAGCCTTCATAAAACAAACATTTAAATGTCTTGGACTCTTTTATTCCAAACTTTCACACAGTTGCTAAAATGCCCTGGTTGCTTTTGACAGACTTTGCCATATACTCAAAGTACCCAGCTCTTATTTTGTCAATAATTCTTGAATATGACTGTCGAATCCATAAATCAAACAGAAGCATCAAGACTTTAAGGCCACTCAGTTCCCTGAGGAGCTTCTGGCACGTAGCAGCATACATTTGCTCCTTCGGCCTGACCATTGCCGTGATAACTGAGCAGCAAATCCCATAGGAACTGACCAGATCTAATCTTGTCATGTTATCAGTTAATAATGCCGAAATTTTCTCGCAAACTTAAAACATGGTTAAGTGAAATTAGTTCAAGAAAAGTCCAAATAATTATATAGAAAACAATTAAATTTTTGTCCATTTCTACTTCGAATTGGGGCATAGTTTTATGTTCCAGCATTAGCGGCCATTTTTTTCTTCTCTGATCCAAAGACCCTGTAGCCCACTCTAGGAGGGATAGCACGTTCCCCACCATCTGCATGAGAGAGGGAGACAGGAAAGGGGGAAAGCTGCCTTGCAATGCAGAAAGAGCTGTGGGATGACTAATTTCAGTTCTCTCATTAAGCCCCTGTCCTGCTTCTTAGCCTGGGACAGGGTTATTCTGATTTGTGCCTCACAGGAAAATATGCTGGGTTGATGGGCATGCTGTATAATGTGGTTGGTGCAGGAGTAACATGGTTTCCAACAACATGCCTACAATCTGTGCATCTGCCTGTATGTAAATCTTACTTATGGCAAGATGTTCCTCACCGAAATGAGCAATTTCTATGTTATATGGTGACTTGCAAATGCTTAGGACAGTGATAGCCGCACGTGCCATGGCCCTGCCGTTACTGCTGCTGTTTTCCCAGCACTCGTAATGCTTCCTTTGAGATTAGTCCAAAGAAACCACACTGCCGTCAAGTCAGTGATGACTCAGAGCTGCCCCTGTGGGTTTCCGGAACTCTAAGTGTTTGCAGGTGTAGAAAGCCCAGTCTTTCTTCCCGGAGGGGCTGGTGGTTTCAAACTGCCAACCGTGCAGATCCCAGCCCATCCTGTAACCACTGCACCACCGGGGCTCCCACCTTGAGTCCAGTAGAGGTCGTTCTAGATTTAAGCCAGATTTCAGTCCACCAACTCCTTGTCATCAAGTGGATCCCAACTCCTAACACCCCGACAGGACAGAGCAGAGCTGCCACGTAGGGTTTCTGAGGCTGTATCTTCATGGACGCAGACTGAGCACCACCTCTTTCTCCATGATTCTCAACCAAAGGCTTAACCACTGTGCCTCCAGGCTGCTCAAAGCTAGACCTAGAGCAGGACTTCCCACGCTTCCCAAGGCTGCGGCCCTTTCAGACGGCTCCTCGTGTTGTGACGCCCCAACCATAAAATTATTTTCCTTGCTACTTCATCACTGTAATTTTGCTACTGTTCTGAATTGGATGACCCCTGTGAAAGGGTCATTCGACCCTCAAAGGGGTCACGACCCACGGGTTGAGAACACTGATCTAGACCAATAGATATTGTTCATGCAATGTTTTGTATGTTGAGAATTTAGTATGATGTTAGTGGCAAGCACCAGAGTTTTATCAACATAAAAATTGTAGTTGTTATGTTTTAATTATTATTCAAAAATTCTATGTATAGCCCAAATGATCAGCTGTAACCAATTTGAAAGGAACCCATTTAGAATCAAACTGACTCCTCTGAAACTTTAAACTTTATTATTATTTGTTTTATAAATCATTTTATGGGGCTCTTACAGCTCTTCTAATAATCCATACATCCATTGTGTCAAGCACATTTGTACATTTATTGCCATCATCATTTTCAAAACATCTTCTTTCTACTTGAGCCCTTGGTATCAGCTCCTCTTTTTCCCCTCCCTCCCCACCCTCCTACCCTAGTGAACTCTTAATAAATGATAAATTATTATTTTCCTATCTTAGACCATCTGTTGTCTCCCTTCACCCACATTTTGATTGTCCGTCCTCCTCGGGGCTGGGTGGTGGTGGTGGTGGTGGTGGTGGTGTGTGTGTGTGTGTGTGTGTGTAACTTTCTTTTTACTGACTTTTGGCAAACTCTTTTATCTTTTTCTTAGATTCTAAAAGGTGATCACCATTTTGATAGAGAAATGTAGGGTGTGCCTTTGCTGTCTTCTGTTGAAAATAGTGGGATACACTGGAAATGGGGATTCATTAAGAAATCCGCCACCACCCTGGCCCCCAGAGCACACTTGAGTGGAGGGGCAGGTTCTCGTATTGTAGACCTCAGAGCGAGCTTTGGGCTCTTTTCATGTATCCTTCCCGTTTCTAATTCTGTAGGTGCAGAGCTGGAACAGTGAACTTCTCGCTAAACAAAAGCCTCTTATCGCCAAACCTTCTGCAAAGCTCCTCTTTGTTAATAGACTGAAGGGGAAAAAACACAAGACTAACTCTTCCACCAAAGTTCTTCAGGATGCCAGCAATTCCATGGAACACCGACTTCCAAATACCCAGAGGGTAGGTTTTAAATCAGTTTGTGAGCATTGTGTTTGTTCGGAGTACTGTGTTAGGCGGGGTTGACTAGAGAAACAAATCCAGTGATACTCATATCTATCTATGGAAGAGAGACCTTTTTATCAAGAAGTAGTTGTATATCAAGCAAATATCCCAGTCCAGTAAAGATCAAGTCCGTAAGTCTGACACTAGTCCATAAGTCCCTCTTCAGACTCAGCACAGGCGCATGCAGAGATGCAGAATGCAGGAAGATCACAAGCCAGTGGGTGTAAGTCTTGTGGATCCAGGGCAGTGGTTGAATCACTGGTCTGGCTCAAGTGTCAGCGTGGCTCCACATGGCTTGTCCACTGGAAGGTGAAGCAGAGAGTGGCCCACCTGCAGCAAGCATTTATCTTGGTTTCCCTCCAATCAAGCTGTGACCTGACTGACAGACCAAACTCTGCCCACTGTGTGCATGGGAGCCCTGGCAGCACACAAGACCTGACTACCCCACGTACCCAGATTTTATTGTTGACTATTTTTTGTATTTATACTGAATTTTTATAGTTTGCAATATACATTTAATGTAAAAGATCTTTCTTAGGCAAAGAAATCTTTCCTATTTCCTGCTTAAAAAAAAAAAAATCTTCAAAGCTAGAAACAGTAAGTGTTCTACACCCAGATAACTCACCTATTGTTTTGGACAACAGTGATCTGTGCACTGTTGTTTGCAAAAACAACACTATTTACTTGACTGTGTTTTATCAGCGCGCGTGTGTGTGTGTGTGTGTGTGTGTGTGTGTGTGTAAGATACCTTCCTAAGGAACCTTGGTGGTATAGTGGGTTGAGCAGTGGACGACCAACCCAAAGTCAGTGTTTCAAACCCACTAGCCACTGTGTGGGAGGAACACAGGCTGCCTGCCCCAGAGACTTGGTCTGGGCGCCGTATCGAGTGCTTGTCCCTGGACCTGTGGCTTCTGTGAGTCACACTTGATCCCGTGGTAGTGACTTGTTTGTTGTTGTTGTTTTGGTTCCTTTAGTAGCCTGTCTTTAGCCTTCATTTCCTATAATAACTGCCCTCATTTGTGTATGGCTTAATTTTTTTTAATCATTTTATTAGGGGCTCATACAACTCTTATCACAATCCATACACACATCAATTGTGTAAAGCACATTTGTACATTCATTGCCCTCATCATTCTCAAAACATTTCCTCTCCACTTAAACCCCCAGCATTAGGTCCTCATTTTTCCCCTCCCTCCCCACTGCCCCCTCCCTCATGAGCCCTTGATAGTTTATAAATTGTTATTTTGTCATATCTTGCCCTGTCCGACGTCTTCCTTCACCCACTTTTCCGTTGTCCATCCCCCAGGGAGGAGGTCACATATAGTTCCTTGTAGTCGGTTCCCTCTTTCCTACCCACTCTCCCTCTACCCTCCCTGTTTCGCCACTCACACCACTGGTCCTGTAGGGCTCGGGAACCACATTCCCTACATCCCCTTGTATCAGTTATCGTCATGCATCCACTCCTCCTGTGTATCGCAGCTGCGACACCCAACAGAAAACAATAACAAATCTCACAAAGATGTCTCTGTATGTTCTTGTAAAACAGTTTTAGAATATATCAAATTCTAGGTCAACAGCTCTGTTCTTTTATGTTTGTTTTTAAAGAGCAGAAATCTATCTCCTCACAGTTTAGGTGGGCTAGACGTCCAAATTCGGGGTACTAGCACCCGGGGAAGGGGAGCTCTCGGTATAGTTCTTTATACATTTGTCTCTCCACGGCCATCTGCCCTCTAGGGTTTCTGCGAAGATCTCTTGTCTGAAATTTCCACTCTGTCTCACTGCTTTTCTGGATTTTCCTCTCCAATTTTGAGAGTTTGAGTGTGATGCATCTCGGTGTGAATATTTTTTGATGCATCCTTTTGTTTCTTGTTAACCATCATCCTTGTGTGGCTTTAGTCTTCATCAGATTTGGACATTTGTCTTTCAGTTCCTTTTCTTGCTTTCTGTTCTCTGACATTCCCATGATGTAGGTACCGGCTCAGCTGATAGTATCGCTCAGTTTCATTAAACTTTGCTCAGTTTTCTTGATCCCTTAACATTTGTGTGTGTACCCTGTTATAATACTTATATCATTGTGCAAATAATTTGATTGTATTAATCATTGCATTTAGTTTTGAATCTTCCATATAAATTTTAACAGCTTATTTTACTTTCCAAAATATTCATTTATTTGAAGTTTGTATTTTTCTGCATCTTCAAATATTTATAATTAAAGGTCTTTGAAATCACTACACTAGGGGAATATACTTGCTTCCTTAGTTAAGTTTTGTTGCTGTAGAATCTTAGCACTGAACTTTCAGCCCGAGACTGAATCACTGACACTGTGGGATTCCCAAGCCATTTCCTTGTTTCGTTAGCCTTCAAAGTGCAGGCATCATACGGTCAGACCACAAAGAAGTTCTTTTTGTTAAAAGTTGGGTTTAAGTGATACATAGTCTTTTTATCACCAGTGTTTCCATCTTGTATTCCTTTAAAAAATAAATGTCACTATTTCATTTTTCATCTTTTATCGTTCACTGTCTGCATTTGCATACACCATAATGTTGTACCTTGAGTGTCATCGGTTTTCTCTCAACATTTCAGGAAAGCAGTGCAGATCCTATTGGGGATGAAGGGTTCTTTGACTTACTGAGCCGATTTCAAAGCAATAGGATGGATGACCAACGGTGTTGCTTACAAGAAAAGAACTGCCGAACCACCTCAACCACCTCTGCCTCCACCCCCCACAGGATGGTACTGAAAAGTAAGTGTCGGGCCCCCTTTAATTTGAATGGCTCCCGTTGGTTCTTTGGGGATGCGAGGGGCTGGGATCTGCAGTCTCAGCAGCTTGAAAACCAGCCAGCCCCTCCACTCACATAAAGTTACAGTCTCAGAAGCTTCAGGGCAGTTCTGCCTGGCCCTGTGAGTCAATGTCCACTCCACGGAAGTGACTTTGGTTTTTTGATTACTTGGTGATTTTTTTAATTTTTTGACTCTGACAACTTCTCATGAGATAAACTAATAAGCCCGAATCCAGGTGTCTCTGAATCTTAAAAAATGATCAAGTGTACTTATAATTATGTATAAAATGTAAATGGTTCATTATCTGACTGAAAAAAAGAAAAGAGGGGCTGAAGAAATAGGTTGTGCAAACAGTTTGAGCTCAACCGCTAAGCTGAAGGTGTGAGGCCCCCCGCCCCGTGAAAGACAGGCCTGGTGACCTCTGCTTCCCTGAAGACCTGGCAACAGAACCCGACCACGCAGCCCTGCTCCCTGCCATCCGGGTTGCTGTGTCAGGCTCTAACAGCACGGAGCCTGAGTCGGCTCACACCTACCTGAGCCTTAGATAGATCTCAGACAGGTCCCTGGAAGTTTTCTATTCAGCCACCAGTAGGTTTCTTCTACCAAAACCTAAGACTTGGCACTATCAATAAATTCCCAGTTTAGCTTACTAAATAAATTGTACCCAGGATATGAAATGTAAACCACTGTCCCAGTCACTCTAGTTTAGATACTGTAAAGACACATTTTATTCACTTTCCTAAATCTAACCCCAGATCGTGTAGAATTTCATGTTGGGTGGGCCCCTAGATAAAGAGAACTGAGTGACCTCCAAGTGGGACATTTGAAGTATTCTTTAGTCATTTCCACCCCTTTCCTCCACCCCCAAACAAAAACCACAGGGCTATCTAGTCATCCCCGGCCTGTAAGCAACTGTCCACAACAGAGCCCAACAAGAGGACAGAGCAAGTGTTGGGGCTGAGCAAGGGGAAAAGAACCGTATCTGTGTAAAAAAATAATACAAAGATGTCTCTACCGGGAACCAGAGACAGAGAAAACATAGATCCAGCAATGGATTTGGGGCTCACACTTAACCCTAGCTCCAGCCTAAAAACAATTAGGTCTTACATCATGGCCCTGCTCAATACTCGCCCTCAGGAAGGAGATACAGAAGATAAGGTGGTGTATATAGCAAAGTCTGGTGAAGAAAATAGATGGTGCCCATTCTCAGAAAGACTAGTGTCTTAGGTCTTTAAAGGCTTGTTTCCAAGCAAGCAGCCTATCTAAGTGAGACATCAAGGGGGGAGCACAGGAACATTTGGGATCCAAGGATTGTAAATTATAATAATCCAAATCCAAAGGCAGGCAGGAACAGCATCAGAGCTTAAATTGTGAGATTCTGGTGTACAGAAGGCTACGCATACATGAGAGTGGACACCCAAAGTACATTTGCAGGATCTGCACAGGCAGTAAGCCTGGGTGACTTCCGTCTGACCGTCCTTGAGGGGTGGAATAGCCGGGTGGTCAGACAGACAGGATTGGCGAGACGATGGATTGCAATGATGAATCTGACTTGAATGGTTAAACCCTTTCAGGCACCGTGTGCCTGATCTGCTTTTCAGTATTGTTTGTTTCACATTGGGGTTACCCCTGCGTATTTTGTCATTGTTCGTGGCCTTCTTGGCTCACTGAAGTACTTGTCTATGTTGTAGGTATGTGAAACCCAGATTAGGCGAATCTTCGGAGACAATAACTAGAGTGGGGGTTCCTGGAGGGCACAGCAAGGCGGGGGAGGGGGGGAGGGGGGCGTGTTAAGGGAGAGCTGATGTCAAGGAGTTCAAGAATGAAGATGTTTTGAAACTGATTGTGGTAGCGATTGTACAACACTGCTATATGATTGAACTATGAATGGTATGATTTCTGGATTCGTTCTGAGTCAAAATAAAATGGTTTGGGAAATAAATAAGACATTTCTAATGATACTTTGGATGTGTGGTTTTTTATTTTGTTGTTGTTTTGTTTCTTCACAGCACCAGCTGTCTCTGTGGTATCCCCCAATACAGATGAATTTTTGGATCTTCTTGCCAGTTCTCAGAGCCGCCGCCTGGATGACCAGAGGGCCAGCTTCAGTAACTTGCCAGGACTTCATCTGACACAAAACAACAAGCCATCTGTCCTGGGCCACCTGATGACGGATGACAGTAAGGAGCCTGATGAAGACTTCTTCGACATCCTTGTAAAATGTCAAGTACGTCTGCCTGTGCTTTTTATTCCGTATGTAGCGCTCAGGCGCCCTGGAGAGTTTGGGAGTACACCTCTTTGTTATCGAGGCTACAGAGAGCTCACTTTGCGTGAGGGAGGCGATCGTTGTTCTTCGGAGCTCCCTCTGTAGAGCTGCTCCTTCCTCTGGGGAAGTGAAAGGATGCTGCTGCTGCCTCATAGCTGTGGTGCAGCCCGAATTACAGGGAATGTGGGATGGAACCTAGGAAGCGCTGTGCTTTCCCAAGGCTCAGGACGTGTCTGACTATAATGTGGACAGGGCCTAGCTGCCAGTTTATCATTTGGGGGAAGTGTATATATTGAGATAGCTTTCTTAAGTTTTTTAAAAATCATTTTATTGAGGGCTCGTACAACTCTTATCACAATCCAAACATACAACCATTGTATGTCAAGCACATCTGTACATTTGTTGCCCTCATCATTCTCAAAACATTTGTTTTCTACTTGAGTCCTTGGTATCAGCTCATTTTTTTCCCCTTAACCCTTTTAACTAGTATTAACCAAAGGGCTAAGGACTACCTTAGATGGCTTGGACATAATGTCCTGTGAGCAGTAATGCTTATTGTCACTACAAATGGCATTTCCTTGGCCTGACCCTAGTTCGTTCTCTGTTTCCTCATTCATAAAAAGGTGAGATAAGTGGTCCCTATCTCCCATTCATTCAACAAGAGCATGTTAAAATATTACTGAGAACCTATGATGGTCCATGTACTACTCTAGGCATTGGAAATAGACTAGTGTTTTAAAGAAAGCTGCATTGCCATTGGGGAGACTGTTGACGGTCAAGTAATGATACAGAAAAATAAAGCAGGCTAAAGGGAAAGTGAGTATCCTGGGGAGGGGGGGTTAGTTTTAGTGCATCCATTTTAGATTAAAGGTGCTTAAGGAAAACCTTTCTGGAGTAACATTTGAAAGACACCTTACTGAAGTGAGTATCTAGTAAAAGAGCATTTCAGGCTCACTCCACTAAGTTGATGTTGACTCACAGTGACCTCTGGGACAGGGTAGAACTACCCCTGTGGGTTTCTGAGACTGTAACTCTTTACAAGAGTAGAGAGCCTCAACTTTCTCCTGAAGAATGGCTGGTGGTTTTGAACTGCTAACCTTGTGGTTAGCTGCCCAACTCGTAACCACTATGCCACTAGGTCTCCATATTCCACGTGCAGTAGATAGCAAGTCTTTTGGACCAAACTGCTTAGTAAGTTCCCCACAACTTTGCTAAGTTCTTCTATTAGCCCTAAAAGTTTTCCTGTAGATTCTTTAGGATTTTTTTATACATAGGATCATGTTATTTGCGATTAAAGATAATCTTATTACATCTTTTCTTATCTGAATATATTTTATTTCTTTTCCTTGTCTTAATGCACGAGCTAGAATTTCTAAGACAGATATTGAATAGAAGTGATGTAGGTGGGCACCCTAGACTTGTTGCCAATTTCAAGGAGAAAATTCTCAAGTAATTGTCTTTTAAGTATTTTGGCTGTTTGCCTTATCATATATGGCCTTGATCATATTAAGGAATTCCCTATTCCAATCTTCTTTAAGATTTTCATCAAGAAAAGGTGTTGGGCTTTATCATGTTTGCTTCTGCTTCCACAGAGATAATCATGTGGTGCTTTTACCTTGTTCTGTTGTGGTGGTGTGTGTGTTGATTCATTTCTGTTGACCTATCCCTGCTGTCCTGGAATAAATCCCACTTGGTCGTGGTGTTAGAATCTTTTAATATGCTGTTTGGTTTCACTTCCCAATGTTTGGTTGAGAATTTTTGCATCTGTATTCGTAAGACATATTGGCCTGTAGTTTACTTTTCTCGTGTTGTTTTGATTTGGGTCTCAGGGTTATGTTTGTTTCATAGAATGAATTAGGGAGTATTCAGCCCTACTGTGTCTTTTGGAAAAGTTTCAGCTTTACTGTTGTCAATTCTCTAAATGTTTCATAGCGTTTTCCAGTGAAGACTTCAGGTTCAGAACTTTTTGTTGTTGGGAGGTTTTTAGTCCCAGATTCAATCTCTTCACTTGTTATGGGTCTTTTAAGACTAATTTCTTTTGAATCCTGAGAGCCCTGGTAGGTAGGTAGTACAGTGGTTACAAGTTGGGCTGTGATCCTCGAGGTCAGCAGTTTGAAACCACCATTCGCACGTGAAGAGAAAGGTGGGGCTTTAAAGGGAGTAGTCTCTAACAGATGTGCTCTTGGAAACTCACCATGGCAGTTCTGCAGTGTCCTGTAGCCACTATGCCAGCGGCTCGATGGCAGTTTGATTCGGTTTTCTTCTGAGTCAGTTCGGATAAGCTTATGTGCTTTTTATGAATTGGTCCATTCCATCAAGGTTATCCAGTTTGCTGCCATACAGTTTTGTATGTTCTGTAATAATTCTTTACAGAAGCAAACTGCCCCATCTTTGTCCCTCAATGCGGGGAGGTTTGAGCCTCTGACCTCAAGGCTAGCAGCCCAATGCCTGACTTAATCAGGTGTCTGTAATGTCCCCTTTCATTTTTATTTGCATTTCTCCTTTGTTAATCTAGCTAACGATCTGTCGATTTTATTGCCAGCTTCTGGTTTTATTGACCCCTATTGTTGTCTATTCTCAATCTTATTTCTTCTCTGATCTCCATTACTTCTTCTTCTGGTAGCTTTTCTCTTTCCAGTGCCAGCGGTTGTCAGGTTAGACAATTTGAGATCTTTTTCTAATTAATAAAGCATTTTATTGGGGGCTCTTACAGCTCTTATAGCAATCCACACATCAGTTGTATCAAGCACATTTGTACATATGCTGCCATCATTTTCAAAACATGTTCTTCCAATTGAGCCCTTGTTATCAGCTCCTCGTTTTACCCTCCCTCCCCCACCCTCGTGAGCCCGATAAATTATACTTTTTTTTTTTTAATATATCTTACACTATCTGCTATCTCCCTTCACCCACGTTTCTGTTGTTCGTCCCCCTGGGCTTTAAAAATGTTTTATGTAGGCATCTGTGAGGCTGGGTTTTCTAGCAAAACAAACCAGTTACTCTCAAATATGTTAAGAAATAGCTTGCATCCCCGCCCAGTTCAGCTGGCCAGAGCCTTCTCCAGACTCACTTAGCTGCAGAGCAGTGATGCAGAAAGATCCAGCGGGAAGCAGGAAGAGCAAGGCTAAGTGCAGTCGTGTGGAAACACGCAGGGCGCCCACAGCTCTCAGGGTCGGTGGCCCACGTGAGGTCACACCCCTGGAGTGGAGGCAGAGTTCCAATAAGCAGGAAGGGAGAAGAGTGGAGGAGAGGAAGGGTCCCCAGCGGCAATCTTATGAAAAGGCCACACCTCCCAGGAGGGGTCCTCAGGCTGCGGCCTGGCTGGTAGGCTGGACTCCACCTACACTTTGACACCACGTGGACATAACGTCTTTGCGCAATGCCTGCCTTTGCGCTTCCTCATGCGCCCTGCTTTCATCTTCACCGACTACGTCTGACTCCTCCCTTGAGCCGTTGGTATAAATAGGGTATGGTTTTTTTGTGGTTGTGTATTTTCCAGGATTCTTTTTGCCCCGTATTGATTTCGAATTTCAATTTGTTGTAGTCAAAAAAGAAAATACTTTATGTCAGTATTTTAAAATATATCAAGACTTGCTTTACGACGTAAAATGTCTCTCCTGGAAACTGATCCATGTGACTGGGGCAGAATTTGAACAAGTTGCTTCAGAGAATTTGTAGGAAAATCTTTTAAGTTCATTTTTCCAAGCTTTTTGATGGCTCCTCAGATTGTGTTGGTGTTGACTGCTTCATAGACTAGGGCGCGTCAAGGTTGCAGGAAAATCCCACTATCCTTCAATTACCTTTTTCCAGGAAGTTTTTGAAGCTGTCATATCATTGTAGTTTTATTTCTCCCTTCAATTCTGTTTTCATATACACTTAATAAATGTTCCTAATTGATCCTTCAGTCACTAAATAATGTAAATAACCATCTTTTCTGCCACGTGTTCTCAAGCCCACTGTCTGATAGTGAGATGACCAACCCACTCTGTTAGTTGTCCGGGCGTAGGATACCCCAGGCCTTTCACTTTCAACTGGTTTGCGTCCTTTGGCTTAAGGTCTTTTGTAAACAGCATATAGTTGGATTATATTTTAAAATCTATCCTGTCTCTTTCTGCCTTTTGATTGGAGCATTTAATCCCTTACATAAATTGTTATTCCTGAACAGTGACTTCTGCGACTTCATTATCTGTGCATGTGTCATGCCCTTTACGTGCTTGCTCGTCACTACAGCTGGATTGTGCTGTTGGTTCACTGTAATGACCCATTTTGATCCCCTTCCTTCCTTCGTGTGTTTATATTTAGTTAGAAAATACTACCTTTAAAAAAAAACTACTGCCACTGTTGATTCTGATTGATAGCAACCCTATAGAACTGTCTCCGTAGCGTTTCCGAGATTATAAATCTTTATGGAAAATGACTTTCTCTCAGAACAATTGATGGGTTCAAACTACCAACTCTTTTCCTTAGAAGCCAAGCACCTTAACCACTGCAGGGCTGTTCTGTTGGAGAGCTGGTCTTTGTGGTGGTGTAGGGGTCATAAAGCAGGCTGATAACCCTGAAGGCAGGGCAACGTTTCAGGGCATCAGCCACTCCGAGGGAGGAAGACGAGGGTCTCCACTCGCTAGAGACGTCGTTTGGGACCCACAGGGCAGCTCTCCCGTCACAGGGCCCCCGGTCAGTCAGCTCAGTAGCAGGAGTTTGTTTTGTTCGTTTGGGGAGGGGTTGGCACCAGCTCCATTTATTACAAGAAATTCTACAGTTGCACCATTTCTCTACCCTTATTGTTACCACGAGTTAGGTCTTCACAAAAGGACTTCAACGTTTCTGGAAAAATGGAATTAAAAAATAACAAATCTTTTGAAATCACCTTGTAGTTCATATAACTTGTAGCACTTTTACCTTTGCCTCTCATGTACTTACTCTTTTAAAAAACATGAAGGACAAAACATTTAACAATATCAAATATGAAAAACCCTTTGACCAGCCCTGGTTCATGTATTTCCTTTATTTATTAGGGATCTTTCTTTTTATGTCTAGCTGTGACTCACCTTCCAGTGTTTCCCTTTAAGGAACTCCCCATGGTGTTTTAAAGCTTTGCAGCAGCTCTGAGCAATCCTGCCTCGGTTTGAGGATAATGTTGTGTCGCATTCTTGGTTGACAGCTGTTTTCTTTCAGGATTTCATACACCGTCTCATTGCTTTCTGGCTTCTGATAGGTCTGAAGAAAAACATGGCATCTGATTTTACTTGGGATCCTTTGTATGTGACTATTTCCTCTACTTTCCGGATTCTTCCTTTACCTTTACTTTTGGAAAGGCTGACCACCATGTGTCTTGGTGTAGATCCCTTTGAACTTCTTGGATTGGTACCTTCATCTTTGTCAGATAGAGAGAATTTCTTGTCATTCCTTCAAATATTATTTCTGATCCTTGCTCTTTTCTCCTTCTGAAATTCCCATGGTTTTACATTAGGCGCCTGTTGTCCCATAATTCCACTGAACTGTGCTCAGCGTCTTGCCTCCACTGTTGCCGCTCGCTCTTCGGTGTCTTCAGTGTTAAAGGTCTTGTTTGCTAACTTGCTAATCCTTCTGCCTCATTAAATCTGTAAATCTTCTACCGTGTCTCTAGTTTCCGTTGTTGCCCCTGCAGTTGGGGTATCTTTGTAGGTGCTCATTTTGATCTTACTGATTCTCCTGTTTTGGAGGCTGCTTTCTCT